AAAAAAAAAAAAAAGCAAGCTGAATAGACTTAATGAAAAATAATAATAATAACGAAATGATAACAAAATTTATTTTATAGTTAGAGAATGGAAAAAAAATCTAAAAATTAATTTCTGAACTAAAATTATTCGAAATTAAAAGTTAAAAAACAAAATTTGACATCTCACCATCTAGAAACTCGTCTGTCGAAGCGGATAAGGAAGGAAATAGGCATCAGTCCATGTCAGGAATGTCGCGCGGATTCGTAAAATAGTAATAGTAGAAGGCTTACTATTCTATATTGCAATAGTTATGATAGGTCTTTCTTCTGCTTGAATTGAAACAACATATAAATATATTTATTTATTTAATAATTGATTCTGATGGTCAACCACCCATAATAAATGATATTTGATTTGAGAAATGATTTTTGTATAATTTTTTTTTTTTATTTTTTTTTATAATCTGAAGTATTATTTAAATGATTAATTCTTTTAATTTGTGAGACTTGTGATATTAAATGCAATCATTCAATTAATGATAAGTAATAGTTATATAAAAAAAATAATATAAAAAGATTTTCTTTATGGCACCACCCACATATTTTTGATACATATAAACAAAGAATTAAACTTTGATTTTTATGTTACAATTTAGTAATTTTGACCCTAAATTAGTACGAATCACTTTATGTAATTTGCATGCATAAACCCCACACAATCTTTTTTTTTAATCCCCTTTAATTAAATATATATTAATTTCAATTTGCTTAAAAAAAACAAAAATAAAATTTTAAAATTGTAGTCGATAATAAAAACAACTTTGCCACGAGATCACAAAATAATAAAATATTATTGATTTGGATTGCACTTGACCCCTTGTGTAGTGTCAGCGTGGTAACCCTAATGACAAGTGGCAAAGAATGTTTTGTGTTTAAACTTCCCATCTTCCCAAAAATCCGAAAATGAGAAGATAGGCTGAGTGGATGTACAAGGATTAAAGAGTATTTTATTGGTAGGAGATATGGTGAATGCATCTGTACAAGCAGACATCACCGCACAACATCTTTAGTCTATAATACAAAGGCAAAAGTAGGTACTTCCGGGATGGAACGGACAAAAACCTACGAAACAAGATGACAAAAATATCACGTGCATGATGACCCCATAGACATAACCCACACAACACCTGAAGTCTTTATATCTGAAGAGACACGTTTCCCATGGGATCCCACGTATAACATACCATAAAACAGAAAATGAAGTATAATCCACACAACGTGAACTACCCTTTTCTCGACCACTGGTGAAAGGGATTAGTCTTTTGATATTAAAGGTATGCCTGTCCATCAACAGTTAACTGTCTTTGTAATTCACCTACATTCTGAACATGAAATTTAGAACTTTGTAATTGTGTATCACACGTTAAAAATGCTCATGATTTATGTGGCTATGGTTGTGTGGGTGAGTTGCTGTCCTGGCCTGCAATTTGAGCAGCAAAAAGCTGAAACAACGTGGTGTGGACCTGTGGGGCTGACCATCTATGGCTTCGTGTGATGCATTTTTTTGACTTAACTAACTAACGCCATTCCAACTCACATAACAAACGAAACAGTCTCATCTGTGTAGACCCCAAGACAGAGACATGACATATGAATAGGTGTCAACTTTGCCTCCACTGTGATTCCAGGGGACTTTGAGAAACTACCCCTTGGCACCACACCAGGAAATGAGATTCCAATTTTGAAAAGATCAAATCAAGCAGAGGTGTGGATTAATAAAACTTGATTCACAAAGACCATATAATCAACGAATTTCTGGAACCACCTAACAGCCTAAAGAGAGTTCTGTACAGCATGACAGCTTGCAGAATGGAAATGGATCAGGAGGGTAGCGACTGACAATGGATGAAATGCAAAGAAAAGATAATATGGGAGAGATTAAGCTAGCTAGCTGGGATCTTATTTTACATTATATATATTGTATGTTGGGGAATACATCATTAGATGGGTTTGCCCTTTACCAGCTTCTCTTTGCTGCTTCCACTAGATCTTTTTGGCCAGGTATGATGGAAGGCTAAGAAGTTCCAGTGGAAGTAGCAAAAAGAAGCATGGGTAAAGTAACTACCCTGTTAGAAGGAAGAAAAAGCAAAATTACAACCAGAAAGAAAACAAGATTAACAAAAACGAAATGGCTTACCGTCCATGGAAGCACATTCCTAGAGCACAACATTCTGACTCTGTTGAAATGTACAGCTTTACAAAGGAATGAAGGCTCCAAAACCAATGTTAACCTTCTCATATGATGCAATGCCTTGTTTGGACCATTAGCTGCCTATGATTTTTGAGCTTCACTACAATTTCCAAAACTAGAATCCAGTTTAATTGTTCAAGCAAAAACTGGCTTTTGTTGTTATATTGGCTCAAGCAATGTGTGACCACTGATTGACACGAACAACGTAGAAAGGCCTGGCATGTTGATTATTCTACACCTCCAATCCCAATATGTACATGCAAAGGGAGTTAGGTTACACGGTACCAGATTGCAACCATTTTGACTCATAAGATTTTGCCCTCTTTGGGGCAATGATCTCAAGAGCACCGTGGACACACTTGCGATATGAGAAGTCTTCAACTGTTCCATCCGTTCTTACCAATGAGAAGCAGCGTGTATCTTTATGCTCTGGGTGATTAATCACCTGCAGAAGATAGGGAAACAAAGCATCAAGAGAATTAGTTTGTCTTTATACTTGAAGGATATTCCCATTGAAGAAGACGGAGGGGAATATTGTGGCAGAACACATTTGATTTGAAATAGGTTGGTTTAACTCAGTTGTTTTCCCTTTTCATTTCCTAGTTTTTATGTACCTTTATTTCCTTGGCTCCGCTTCCAATCTTCTCATCCTTTCGAGGATGAAAATTTAAGGCCATCATCAAGGTATTCCTGTCTGCTTCACTTACCTCCTGATTAATGGCATACCTACATTGACAAGTATAAGCTCAGAATCTGAAGGAACAGAGTACTACTTGTTAAAAAAAGGGTATCATATAAAACAGTTTAATACAGCATGAGCATGAATGTAGCCAATTACGAATGTTAAGTATCCACAAAAGTTCAGGATAGTGAATGTGGGCAAAGATACATTGATAAGAAAATGTTTCTTGTATCATCAAATTGTTCTCATAGATTCTGATTTAGTATTTATGTCTCATTTATATCTTGCTGGCTAAAATTACAAATTTAACCACATTTCCTTTTGGCCTTAAATTATCACTGTTCTTACATTTAAAGACATACCAGAGATTAAATAACGCTTGCAATGATTAACATTTGAGAGGGTAAAAACAGCATGCATAACATCGTCATTGTGCATCAATAATATGACATAGAATCATCAATTAGTGCCAACTGCCTACATCATTGATAGCAAGTATATCACCATAAAAGAGCTACCAGACATTTATTGTTAGGAGAACTTACTTGTGCAATATGTTCCTTAAAGCAGATGAGAGCCTCTGAATATCATTCAAGGTTATAAAGGTTCTCAATAAAAAGGATCTTGGTAGTTCTATTTTTTCTACTTTGTTCAGCCCTTTCACAGCAGAACTACCGTGTGCATAGTCAAACCGAGAACTGTATTTGTCAGACTTTTGCTTCAAACCATTAGGTTTTTCAAACTTTTTATTCTTCGTGTGAGAACTAATATCACATCCCAAAAGCTTGTACACATCAACAGGCTCTGAGAGTTTTTTATCCTGACAAATCATATTGGGAGAAAAAAATTAGATTGCAAAAAGCAAAAAATGTTGCCATCAAAATAAAGTCAACCCTCCACCCATCTACCCCAATCCCTTCTGTTTATGGTACTAGCTCTACTTTTCCTCTAAAGACCAATTAGCCATTTTCCCACCAAAGATCAGTAAGGAATAGATGAGATTTAGAATTCCTTCATCTTAAAACCATATTATTTTGCTCATAACAAAACTTTGGCAGTATTGCTTCATTCATTCCTTCTTTTTTGGCCATTCACTCCTTAAGCACCTTTTTTCAGTTAAAACAAGGGATTTTAGAGGGATGTCAGAATTTCTCTATAAATTAAAAATCCTTCACTGTAATCATCTGATTAATGCACACCAAAAGTTCACTCCTAATCCATATCCATATCTATTTTTAAGTAAGCATCCCAAGAATTACTTTATCAGAGGGATATAAAATATACCTTCACAGAAAATACCATATCAAACTGCCCACCAGTACCAATAGGAGGAATTTTTCCCCATGCCAATGCATCTAGAGTACCCTTGAGATCATCCTTGGCTTTTGCCTTAGCAGCTTTTATAAAGCAAGCACTAGGATTCTGCAGGGACATTATGGAATGTTAAGATTTATGGCCACAATAAATGTTTCTTAATATTTTAAATAAAAGAATACAAAACATAATTTAACTAACCGAAAAGCATGCTTGCATGAAGGGTGATGATACTGATGCATGTTCTCTCTGTCGAGCCAAGCCTTTTAAATTTAAGCCTACAAACTCCCCTGGAGCTGACAAACAATTAGCAACAAGTAGCAAATGTTTATGGAGAATAGTTTTTCCCGTGTCAGATATTGCACTCTTCAGATTCTGCATTTAAAATTTACTAATTCTAGTCAACAATCACGCAACATATACTGAGAATTTAAAGAAAGGATTGGAAAAGAAAACACACATTGAGAAAGTATTTCCATCCTGAATCTATTCCATAAGCTGAGCAAAACTGACGAATATTATCCGGATGGCTCCGTGTCCAGTCTATCAGATCCATAATTTGGAGGCAATCCCCCATCAGCACACTCCAGAATTTTGTTATGTTTAATTCACCAGACATGAATACCCTCAAGTATAGTTCGCCATTAGGGCCTTTGTGGGATTTCGATACTTTTTGCCGATCATTCCACAATATATCCACCTTTTTTATTTCCAAGAATCCTATTGCAACAAATTCAGGAGAAGAAGATGAATATCATCAATCAAAATTGTTATTAACATTCAAACTTTTCAACAATCTGATAAAGCAAATTACTCTTTCACAAGGAGAATGAAAGCAAATATCCCTTAAGTCGTTTCAAATCTCTCAATTTGATTTCTAAGAAATAGCAAGATTTGATTATATTCATATAGAAACCAGATACAAACATACAGAATTTTCAAAAGACGTGAAATAATGTCAGCTGATGAAACTATTACTTACCTTTTGGAATTTAAAACTTGGTTACTTCTTTTTAGCCATTTTTCTCTATTTCTAAAGGTTTGATTTGATAATTTTCCTTTTAAATCAGTATAAACACTTTGAACAGGGGTCAGTTTCTTCCTCTGACAGAAATATGGCTATATTATGATGTTGTTAACAGACCAAAACTTCAAGCAATAAAGAGGATTCTTTACAGAAGATCCCACCAAGAAGTGGCATGAATTGACAATAACAAATTATCTCAAAACAAGACACATTATTCAAATGAGGAAGATGATCTTTGCTTTCCAGACCTGGCTGATTTGAGTGAAAAAATTTATAAAATCTGCTTTACCTACACACAAAAAATTTTTATTTCTCCACCAGTGTAATTTGAGAATCTAAAACACAAAAAGAAAACTTAGACATGGACCCCACTTCAAATAGATCTGAAAATTCCTGTATGAGATTGTTAAGCAAAGCTTAAGGTATCTAGCATTATGACAGACAGATTAGATAAACAAGCCAAATTTCAGACATCAAACGTGAGAATCATGAGCTTAGTATGATGGAAATGAAAACAGGTAGAAGTGCACACCCTTTATTACTGCTCCAAGCAGGAAAGGTATCAACTTGTCCCGAATAAAGTCCAGTTGGATGGAAGAACCTTTGGGGCTTTCAACTGCAACAACAGTGATGCAATACGTATCTTTGCTTGGCATGTCCTCAGAAGAACAATCCCTGCCATTTAATTAGCAAAATCAACATGAATATTGAAGACTAGAGGATAACTTTAGCAGACATGTTGCAAACGTTACCTGCTTGCTTCAGAATTTTTTGCAGAAAGATTTATATTGAGATGCAATCTAAAATCCCAAAGACCTAGTGAGTTTAGAGTATGCTGTCATAGCACTGGAAGTCCAGTGTGGGTTGTTAAAATTGTTAATTTATGGTAGCCTGAAGAATACCCATAAATTTATGCTGTTTTGGTTCATGGTCCCAATATGAAACCTTAAGAGAATGAGATTGAGAATGAGATTGAGTATAAATTAAGGTGTGACATTGAATTGCCAAGAAATCAGTGCAGATTTTTACCATAAAGGTCAAGTACAAGCTGTATATAAACTATATTCTGTTTCCCACCATTGGGGGGGGAGGGGTGTTGTTGGGGTTAATAGAGATGATTATGATGTAATTCCTAAAAGTTGTCATTAAATGAATATCTATTAAATGAATGGATATTGTGAATATTTTGGTGGATGTCCCTCGAGCATGCTATTAGCAAATCATTTGATTCTCATTGATAAGACTGGCTGAGGTTCATTGTGAGTGTTAGAATCATGGAGGAAAATCATTTTAAAAACCTTAGGATTAAGTCAGAACAAAATTTAACATAAAGGTTTTATATAAAGTTTTTAGTTCTATATGTACAAAAAGGTTCAACTTACAATACCTTACAAATTTGTAATCCTTATACCACTTTATATCTTTTTAATAAAGATTGTGTTCATTAAATCAAATGTTTAATTTAATGTATAATTCACATCAATTACATATACCAAGTTTCAAGTTGAATGAATAAGTCCAATCCAAACTGTTTCACTAAAATCATAAATTTGCAACGGTTGAATGTAAAGGGACTCTTAAATTGAAGTTCTACCAATATCAGATCAACATGAAGACACAATAAGCATGGAAAGATGATTGATTTGGCCAAGGATGAAATTTACAAAGAGTTAAAAATTGGTATGCTAATTGGTGAAACAAAAGGACAGGTATAAATTCTGCGTTGCAACAACTAAGGGTGCTGGATAAAGGAGAAACTTACTTGCTTGTGATTTCTATCTTAGGTAAATTGATTTTGAAATCTTGTTTTGCAGCATTGCACCTTGTCTGAAGTGAGTCAATAATAGACTGCACCTTAAGCCATCTCCTTTTTGCAATTTCCTGGAAGGACATTATCTTTTAGCAGAAAATGAAAATGTTATCAACTGAGAACAGGAGCAAATTTGCAGACTGCATTACCTTGCTTACATGGAAGTGGCAGACCCAAGGACAAAAGCGCTTTTCACTAGAGGTCTGTGGGGCGTAGCTAGTACCACAGAACATGTTAATAAATAACAAAAGTAAACACGCTAAAGCTTATGATAAGGAAAGCATGAAACAGAAACTAACATTATCAACACAGTAGAAATGATTTCGGAAAAGAAGAGCCTCTCCAAATGATTCTTTACATCCAAGGCTCCATACTCAAAACCATGTCTGCTCCTTCCCAGCTTCTCAGATAAGAACACTGACATGGTCTGGTCAGCATTGATTTTTTTTGAGCCGCATTCGAGAACTCTCTAAGAAATTTAATCAAATAATGGAAATTTATTAGCATTCCAGGATTTATAATTGGATTATATGTCAGTTAAAAACCATTGAGATTTCACAATGACTCTGATGAGCCATGCATGTTCTGGAAGTTAGTAATGAAGTTCTGGAGACCAGAACTGGACCGTGATTTGCATGAATCATAAGAAGAAATAGTGCACTGCTTAAAATAGAACATTCTAAGATATAAGAAACACAATTTATGGTGAACATAAAGCTAGTGTTTTTCAGCTTTAATATTGTTTAGGTATTCTATGGTCTTTCTGATTCTGCTTCCTCAGTTTTGGCCTAAAAGTTTCCATCCTTTGTTTTGTTTTGAATCAGCCGCTCTTTTATCCTAGAGAAAGGCTGTTATGCTGCCTATTCCAAAATTTTGAGTGGGAGGAAACATAGGGAGTGATGAAAAAAGTTAAAAGGCAAGGATCATGCCTGCTTTGTAAACTTATTGCTGGTAAGTTCATGCGTGCAAGCATCCCCTTTGTGTTTTCCAAAAATCAATAATCTAAACCAATGAAAAATTCATAGATTTTTGACCCATATGACATGTCAACAGGGAAAAAGGAGAAAACTCAAACAGGATTTGAAAACAGATTATTCCCTGATAAATGAGGTAGTTTTGGAGAAAGAAAGAACCTTTAGATTCAGCAATGGTGAAGTTTCAAGTGGACTAATTGGTTGATCTAGAGCACTGTATGCAGCTTCAGAAATGGCACAAGCAGAAACTGAACCAATGGGTTCACCACCTATTCCATCAAGAGCAGCATTGCTCATGCCAATTAAGTCAGCAGTGCTGCTGGTTGAAACATGTTCATCCTTGTCAATATTATAAGAGAACTGAACAAGCTGACTCCCATAAGAATTTCTAACAGTTCCATCATATGAAGCATACAAATCACGCATGAAGAACATTAGCCTTCGTGACAATGTCCCAGGAAGATCAGCATTGTCACTGAAGGAACTGTCCCGACTGGTAACTGAATGAACAAAACATTCCAGAGGATTCAAGCCAGTCAGAAAAGAATTTTCAATAACAGCATATGGGATGTACTTCTTAGCAGATTCATCATCATCATTGGCTGTCTGAGTTAAACAATTTGACTTTTGATCGTTCCATGCAGCACAAGAGAGCTGATGTGGAAATCTGAAGGACAAAGGAACCAGTGAATGTTGCAAGCCAAGACATAAGCTATGCTGCACCAATTTCAGTAAATTACCCTTGCTTCCTGCCTTGATCATGGTCAGAAATGAGTTGTCCTTATTTGCATATCTGTACGCTAAATTCTGTACATCCCGAAAGACTTCCTTAAATGCATCAACAGAAGCTTGGCTGAGTGCAGCTGATCTCTGCTTCTCATAGCACATGCGCTTAACATCAAAACCCATAAAATTGTGATCCTCTTCGCTATTGCCACTGAGGAACTCACGACTAGTATCAACCATTAACAGTTTATAGTTACATGTCTGCTCTGCTTCTTGCAGACCACAAAAAATCTCACTCAACATGTTATTACGGGAGTGTGAGTCAGAAGAAAGGTATAGATCCTGGAGTGAGACACTCAAACCCCTCGTTGACAACCACTCACAAAGAACTTCCTGAGCAGCATGAAGAAAGTCCAGAACCTTTCCTTGGTAATGTTGAATAAGGCTTTCAAAAAGGTTTCCATCAGTGTCGCGCAGCCATGCAGATCCTTCAAATGACGATATAAGCTCTCCATTACTTATACAGACACCATTTGGAGGAAAAACAAAATCAAATCCTGGAGGCAAGAGCATGCTAAGCAACTGCTTTCCAGTCCAAACAGAACTTTTCAGCCAAGGAGATTTGACAATTGCTGGAAATGGCAACTGATGGGGACAGAACATTTGTAGCTGCTGCATTTGGCAATGGTTTAAGAGTACCCCATCCTCCTTGACTAAACACACAGCAGTTAGACTATCATGACTAAATGAAAGGAGGTTCCTACCACTCTGGGCATTAATTAGCTGCTTATCCAAAGCAGCAAGCTCATTAAGCTCCACTCTGGTCTCCACAGACTGAGGAACATAGCCATGAAGGCAATCACCATCAAAATCCCCACGAAAAGGTGAACAGATCAGTGGGTTTATGGATAGAACTGATTTTACAGGAAGGACATTAACAGACAAAGCGATGAGGGAGTGTTGGTGTATTGAAGGAGGTCTATTTACCATCACAATGTCCCCATCACTCAGAGGCCTGTATATAGTGTCTCCTATTTGTAGCTCATCAATATTACGTATCCGAACTAATCCATCTTTTCTGCGAATATGAATTTCACCCTTGTCTAGGATACGTAAATGACATGCAGCCTCTAATTTTTCCCAGTTCCAAGGGTTGAGTTGCTCACAGATTTGCAACCTCTCTGCAACTTGACAGGGTATACCAATTTCACAGAGCTTCAGAGCTGGATTACCAACTACGACCATGCGGAAGCAATGGTCATTTCTTTTCCCCAGTATAACATCTTTCATGTATCTCAAACCAGACATGCTAGATCCAGAATCTTTATTTTGTTTATGGGGATTAATAAGATCCTCATTTGATGGCTTTTCCACATGCAGCTGCAGATTAGAAATTACAGAAAAAAAAAAAATGTAAGATTCCAAGAGGATTAGTTAAATAAAACAGAAAACAAGGGTGTTTATATCTTACCTTGGAAATGTTTAGGCAGTCCAGTACACGAGAGCCCAATTCATTAGCCATTCCTCTAAAATCAACCAGTTTCTTATAAGCCCTAGTTCTTTCATCCTAAAACCAATCATTAACAGTGTAGAATCAGAAGACATGTAGAGAAAATGCAACTCATGAAAGATAATGCTGCAGATCATCAAATCAACTGAGACTTAAGAATAGCAAACAAGCAAGGGGATAGACAAGAACACTTACAAATATCAATCGCTGCCCATTAGAAAATGCATGTGTAACTTCAGTCACCCGGTGACTATTTGGTGTAACAGGAAAACAGCTAAGGAAAATAGCATCCATTCTTGAAACAAACTTCTTAATAAACTCAGGATCCACATCCTTCAACAAATAATGAACCTGAAAAACATAGAGAAGACATTATAAACACATGGTATCACATACCAAAAGCACTGTTTGCAAATGAGAAAAAGGAAAGGCCAAAATAATAATTAACAAAAAGCATTAGGTTTGTGGTCTTTTTACAAAATATTTATTAATAAAAAAAAACCCTTACCGGTTTTCAATTTCAAAAATCTACTTCTAGAGTTGTAGGTCACCCAAAAATTCCGATGTGTAGGATGCAACAATGCATTAACAACTGACAATACAATCAAACTATTATTCACTCCATTTTGTCTCCTAGCTGTGCATCTAAGAACCTTATTGGTTGGAAATAAAACTTATATTATGTAATAATATCATAATGGTCCTTTTGAAAATAAAAAGCATTCCCAATCAGATCTCTTAACTATTATTCATAAAAAATTCTTTCAAGCCTCCACTGGGTCAAAAGAATGAAGAGGCAGACTTCTACAACTTCATATATGCAACCAAAATCAACTTTCCATCAACCAGAAAACATTAAAACGTGAATCATTAATGAGTCACCTTCATACCTTTAAAACATGTTGAAAACAAGATAATTCGCAGTTCACCAACAACAAAAATTAATTCCAACACCATCAAGTAAAAAATAAAAGTATGACCCACAAAAAATGTGAAATTTTAATGTTATATTGTCAATATAGCATCAATTCTATTTACATAAATATTGAAACAAAGAAAAAGGGGCAAACTGTAGACTTGTACATTTGAAAAGGGCAAGCTACCTGGGCATGCGATAGAATTCTTCGTGTTGGTTTTATGCAATTTTCATCTAGCTGTTCATCTTTTGGAACAAAATCCCAATAGTCTGCAGCCAATGCTTTCCGTCCTCTTTTTTGATACTTACTAAAATGATTTTCACTCACTTCTACAATAATTGCAGATTTTTCAAAAAGATCATTTGAGGAAACTTTAAACTTCATTGGTGGGTACCAGCCTCCTGAATTCCCCTGTTATAAGCACATATCATTGGTACAAAATTAAATGCCCAAAAAGAAAAGATATAAGAAGTCAGACAAACTTACAACACAATATTTGCAACCCTTGGGCTTCTGTACTCTAGTTGCTGAATCTCCCCTCTGCTACATGAAAAAGTGGAGAGAAATGCACCATCAATACGTAGACCAGTAGATGCATGTTTGGCTAAAAGGGAAAGTAAAAGGCACGCAAGACCACACTTTGCAAGTTCATTACATGAAGCCTAATGCAAACTATAAAAACAACACAAATAAAACAAACTCACAGTTTACTCAAGTTTTCAGCCAAGTCACTCTGAATTCTTATATGGACCATAGTCCATATACCAACATGATAACAGCAAAATAATGTGCATACTTCCGAGTTGCGAGTAAAAAACCTATCATATTTGGTAGGTAATTCTTATTCTTTCAGATTATGGAAACGATGTTTCAGTTAATTACTATTCCAAGGGTTTTCACAATAAGAGTCAAGAGTTATGGAACTATGGTTCTTTTCTTCTCTTCTTATTTCTTTTGGATTAAATTAAGGAAAATATATAATTAGAAAAGAAAAAAAAAAAAAAGGTGACAAGAACTGACACCTTATGAGTGGCTTGATATTAATCAACAAGTTTGAAGCATTAATCTAAGCTAATAATCCAGACACAGCAATTTAAAACTAACTTCATTACAATAATAATGAGTCATTAGTTTTAGGAAAGACAGAATAAATCATAAGTAAAGCTCTCATATCTATCCAAACAAGGGCAAAGGAATATAACATTGCCAACAGTAATCTCCAATTCACACAGAGAGGTAACTGACCTTCACCCATAGATCCTTCCTGATTGCTTTACATCCTGGGCAAATCTTATTTAAAATTTGTGCAACCTCAGACAAATAATATGGGTGGAGTACTGTGTATGGAAATTTAATAACCCCAAAGTGACCTAGAAGAAATTAGGAAGTTTTTAGTAATTGCATGAACAACAAGATGGCCAGAAACAAAATAAGTACATTATCAAGCCACACCTTCACATGCTTTAAAGTCTCCAGCTCCGCAAGTAGAGCACTGATTGGAAAAATTTGGGAACCCCAACTTAGGATCAGAGACCTCATTAGGAACCATAATTTCCATGACAGACATCTTCTCCTGTTTCAGTATCAGAATGTTACAGAAGCAGTAAAAGCACTATTTTTTTTTTTAAAAAAAAAAAAAGCCACTAATTATGGAAAATTAAGGGCCAAATATTTGTGTTGTTGCCAAGTCTAAATCAGAATTCATCAAATAAACCAAGCCTTTGAAATAGTAACATAAACAATATTGCAGGTCCAGACAGAAGACTCTTAACACTGTCCACCTCTTGCAACTAAGAGATAGGATAAACATGGACGAAAAAAAAGAGAGGCTAAACAAAGAGTGGCCACTAATCTTTAGCAGAACCATGCTTCAAGTTTAATTTATCATCTTTACTTAATTGTATCAATTCTTACCATAACTTCTGATTTCTGTATATAAGCTATAGCATTCAAGATTAAACAGACTTACATAATCTGTGTCTGTAGAGACATTAAAACGTAAGCCAGTCACAACTGCAGCTGGCGCTTGTTGCTCTTCATCCAAGGCATTGTCCATGGAACCTTTTTATCTTGTACTTCCAGTTACCTAATAGCATACCCCAGACGTTAGACTAGAAAACTATAATGTTAAGCCATAACATAACACATTAATATAAAAATTAATAAAGAGACCTGACATCTAAGTTGGAATACATGGCTAAGGGTGCAATTTCCCAGGCAGGGTTATCAATAACAGATAGCGGCCAATAGTGGGAAGGCAAAAATCTGTTGTGATAGCATAGCGGACACTATTGAAAAAATAGTGGCCATTAAAAATCATACAAATATATTTAATAAATAGAGTATTTTCCAAATTATGTGCATAGCAAAAGTTATCAACCTAGATAATTACATATCAAGTTTAAATGAAAATTTTCCAGCTTTGAAGGAATCACACATGACATAACCATCCTGCTGGCCTAACAGGAAGGAAGCAACAGACACAATAAACCTCAGTAATAAATCTTCACATTTGAATAAATGTGTTCCATGTATGCATTATGTCAAAACACTCCTAGGATTTATCCATCATGCCCAAAAGCAGCATTTCCTTTTCTAGTCTTCTTTTCTTTCCCAATGTAGCTATAGTTAAGCACATGGCACTAACAAGACTGCAAATTGGAATATGCATAAGAACCACAATTATGAATTTCTATTGCTTTTAATAGACCTTTTAAGCTGCTAGGTAATAATATAAGGTCACTTGATGATTGATAAAACCTGCACTCAAGCATCTTGCTCACCATAAATCACTTTGTGACCAAAATGAGGGTCCAATTCAAACAAAAACAAACTAATGCTCCCATAAGTGTCACTCAGTGAAATAGATAAGCTATTCCCATTCCTTCATCAGCTAATAAAACAAACTGCCTTTCTAGTCAATCAAACGCAGACAAAAACAAAAGAATGCTGCCACAAGTGTCATTTGATGAAACAGATAAAGCAATTCCTTTCATGCATTAGGTCAAAACACTCCTAGAATTTATCTATAATGTGTGAATGCAACATTTCCTTTTCTAGTCTTCTTTTCTTTTCCAACATGGCTCTTAAACACATGACATTAACAAGGTTATGTAAATTGGAACATGCAAAAGAACCACATTTATGAATTTCTGATGTCAGTACCATTAAGCTTTTAAATTGCCATTATAACCCGCCAAGGAACTATACAAGTTCTCTTGATTACTATAAAAACTGCACCGTACTCATCATAGAACAACTGATTACCTAGATAAAAATAAAATTCAAACAAAAACAAACTAATGATACCATAAATGTCACTCAATGAAACAGATAAGCAGTTCCCTTTCCTTCATCCGCTAATAAAAAAATGCCAACAAAACAAAAACCCAGCAATTGAAGTGAACTAAAAAAAATAGAAAACAAGAGTACCACCACCATCCATTCACTTGCCAATCAGCCACAACAAAAACATAACACCCTGCCATAATCAGCTGTGAAGTTTATGCATAGAAGAAAGACATTGTCAAATTCCTAGGCAATTCATTCCACTGTGCCCAATGAAGCTCTTAATACCATTGATCAAATTCCTTGCTGAAAACAAAGGTTATGCTATCTAAGGAGGATAGAAATTTCGCAATTCAAAGAATGCAACATCCAATAGGAAGTAGTAATCAATACTGTTCATTCAATCAAGCGATCTCCTATCTTCCCTGCTTGGCAGAGGCAAAAGGTCTATGCACATTGTTCAAAGCTCCATTCTCAATCATCAAACACTCAAGTAGAAGCAATAGAAGAAAACAAGCTTAACAAAATCTATCATGCAAAGAGCAAGATCCTTGCTTTCTTCAAGATTGACCTAAAACCCAGAAACCATAGTCCAATGCAGAAAACCAATATCACCATAATCACCCAAAAAGCCAAAACCCAGATACAGAAAATCAAAATCGAAAATGAAAAAAACTCAAATAGTATCAAAAGAAGGGGACTTGATCACCAATCTAAACACATAGACATGCAACATTGACTCATTGATCACATACAAACACTCCAAAAAAACAAACTCTAAACAGGAATTGACAATGCATGACAAAGAGGAACGCCAAAGGCTATACCTTTACTCACTTGTCTTGATAAAAGCAATGAACTTTATCTCTGCTAGAGCACACAACACTCACTACAAGTGAGTGAACCAACAGAAAGATAGAAAAAGCACAATGGGCCGCTTGTTTTATATAATCATTGGAGCCTCAGAGGCTAGGACTGTGGCAGAATTGTAAATAAAGGAAATCAGTAGGGGCCAAAAGGCATGAACACCGGGCTTTATGTAAAGGTAATGAAGAGACGCCGCCGGTTACCTCCTTCAACTACCCCAAAGAGCAAAGACAAATAACGCCGGGTTCAAGAAAGAGGGAGACCGAGGCAAACCAGTATAAGGTTTCTCTACCTGTGTCGGACACAAAGCCCCCCACTTTTACTCAAATGCCGATTCTGACCTCTCTGTTTTTAATAATTATTTTATAGGGGCTGTCGGTTACTTTTCATAGGTTCTCACGTTT